ACCAACAAGATTGACGTTATGGAGTGGCCAGCCCAATCCCCGGATCTTAATCCAATAGAAAACTTGTGGGGTGACATCAAAAATGCAGTTTCTGAGGCAAAACCAAGAAATAGAGAAGAACTGTGGAATGTAGTCCAATCATCCTGGGCTGAATACCTGTTCACAGTGCCAGAAGTTGGTTGACTCCATGCAACACAGATGTACAGCAGTTCTCAGAAACAGTGCTTATACAACTAAATATTCATTAAGTGATTCAAAGGAAAGCAAAATCTTCAAACATTTTTCAGTTTATATAGTGAATGTTTGAGTTTGTAAAGAAGAATACAAACACTGCTATTTTTTTGAACAGTCTAATATTCACTTTTCTTCAATTTTTTTTAGAGGAACAACACAAATTTGATATATTTTTCTTCATGTTTTGATTTGGAATAGAATGTGTAGTGTTCCCAATGCATTTGTGTTTATGGAAATAAAAGCTATTAGAAGGATTTTGAGCTTTATTCACTTTTTTCAACACACTGCTATTATTTTGAACACAACTGTATATTGTACATTCACATCAGTCCCTAACCCTCAAGGGGTGTACAATCTAAGGTTCCTAACTCATTCATACATACACATACTAGGACCAATTTAGACAGCAGCCAATTCACCTACCAGAATGTCTTTGGAGTGTGGGAGGAAACCGGAGTACCCGGAGGAAACAAACGCAGGCACGGGGAGAACATGCAAACTCCAGGCACGTGGTGCCGTGGCTGGGATTCCAACCAACGACCCTAGTACTGCCAGGTGAAATGTGCTAACCATTTAGCCACTGTGCTGCCCGTTTGACTTTAGATTTCTAATACCCTCTGATTCAGGGTATTCCATTCTGAACATTCACTTGTTAGGTTTATGCCAGATTACTATTGAATCCTTGTTATCCTTTTTGTGTATGTACTATTCTGGGTGTCTGTTACAAAGTCTCGATAAAAAAAAAAAAAAGAAAAAAACTCTACCTTTATAAGATGAGGTGTATCCATAGGGAGAAATCCTTAAGCTAGCCATGTTTTCTGTCAAGTTTGGTACCTAAATACAGGATAATAGTCAGCATAAATCAAGGTGATCAAAATTAAGTCTGCAACTTGTTAAACCAGGGCCTGGAGAAGGATTGTGTATTTTTATGTAAACATGTAGGTAACATTTATTTGTAACCACTTTGATCTTTTTTTGAAAGGTTTTTTATGAATATGTTAAATAATTTAATAAACCCCTCCAGTGGAAAATAATCAGAAAATACAGTCGAAGACATACAATAAAGTATTTTGTTGGGTGACAGTATGAGAAAATAAATAGTAGGACATTGCCCTTTTACAACATATTTTCTAGCCTGCATATGGGGTAAGCAGAAAAACCAAACCTGCAAAATGTTGTAAGCTATCATAACTGGATTTCATTTTATTACAGTCATTTAGATTATTGGCCTGAGCGAATTTACATTGTTCTGCCTGTGGCAGACAGATTCAGGCATTGCTATAGATAATCAGTTAGTGCAACGATTATAATGGTTCTAAAGTCGAAGTGGTTTTTAGCAGAACGCATTCTATACATTAAGGTACAATACGCCAAACTACTTGTTCCTTCCTCGTCTCTAAACACTTACCTGACTGAGTTAATTGATCCAATGCCGTCCCAGGCTGCAGCAGCACTGTACTCTCCCCTCTTCCTAGTCTCACAGGAGATACAGAGAACAGTGGGAGCAATAGGCTCCAGCTGTTGTAAGTCAAATCCTGTGAGGAGGGAGCCGGGTGTGTCGCCGAGCCACACTGTGTGTCTATGGATGCACACAGCCCGGCTCAGGAGCACAGCCGCATGGGTGCCCCCCTCAGCGCATAGCTTGCTCAGGGGGCACCTGAAGAAAAGGAAGAGCAGACAGTGCTCTTCCTGTAGACGTATAATATCTTTTTAGGCAAGTATATCTTTTTATTTTTTAAAAATCAGTTTTACAATCATTTTAATGGCTCATAAACATGGGCAGACAGGCAGCAGTAAAAGCAGATGGCTGAGCTGTGGTTTTATTGCCCCTTCCCCTGACCACGCAACCTAAGGAAGCTTTGCAACTAAAATTAAACTTCATATCACATTCAAAAGAACAGTATCACCGCTAAATGTGACACATTTAAATATATGGGGCTGCAACACAACTGTCCTACCTATGCAATGCAGGCTGTTGCAGCAATGTCTTTCAGCCTCTTTGGGGTTAAAACAAGCAGTGAGGAGGCAACATAACCCCTTCTCACCATCTGTCAAAAACCCTCTGAATTGCAATCCACTGTGGATTACCTTTCAGGGGGGTGGGTTGGAGAACACAGGCTGCTGCCCATCAGAAAAAGCCCTCTTTCAACCACCAGATGGTAGTAGGTTTTCAACATTTACACAATGCCAGCTTGTCACGGGTTTGTTTTATGTATTAAAAACCATTTTTGAATTTACAGTTCATACTTGATATATGAGAAGCATTTTCTAGAACAATTATTAATATATGGACCTTCAGTTCCATTTTGGTTCAGTCTATAAACCGAAGACTTTTCAAATAAATTTTTCAACCTGAAAAAAAAAGGGATCTGCAAGGTACCCTAAATCCCATGTTTATACCGAGGCATCGTAAGTCTGAAGATTGTAGAAAGCATAATAATAGCAGAGGAAAGCAAATGCACTTTATATGAGGGCCTAACCTAAGCTGCCTGTTCGCTTGTAAAAAAAAATGAAGTAGGTTATCCCTGTAAAGCATATATCCTTTTTATCAGTGCTGGGAAAACTCAACTTTCCACATGAGAAACAGACTTCATCAATATCAGATTTTATCACACAGTTTAATAATGATTACAATAATACTGGCTTTTATAGCAAAACAAATATTAAAATAATGCTGGTCATATATATATATACATATTCTTAAAATTAACATTTGTCCATTCTTAAAACAATCATCAGCCATGAGACAGACCAATGCTGCCCATATGTTCGATACTTCCTATCAATGTGTCAGATTCTACAACAATTTCTTGGATTATTCATAATGGCAGCTATGGCTCTAAACTCTTGATCAGATATTAAATGTTATTAGGAGAAGCGCTTGTATACACAAAAAAATCATTTCAGATACCAATAATATACCAACAAATGAAAAGCACTAGTGGCTAATGAAAAACTAAAGCGTAACTCCAGGCAAAATCTTCTTTTCAGGTTTCACAGTTGCGAAGCATTAGGAACTCTCATTTCCCCTAACTTCCTGTCCAGGAGGAACAACAGGAAGTAAAAGGAAATCTCATCTATGCAAGGGAAAATCCCACTTGAATTTAATTTCAATGCAAATCTGTCAAAAGTAAATAAAAAAAAAAATCATGACTAGGAGTCAGATACAACGTCGACACCGCTTTTCTTTTTTAATTCAGTAAGTTTGAGTGTATTTAAATCCCTAATTCCATAACAGAAAAATATGGACATTGCAGTTGATTTTTTAAAAAAGGGCAATATCCAGAGTGACCTTTGTATTACACTTTAACAAGCTGAACACTGAGGCTCCATTAACCACTTGACTACTGGGCACTTATACCCCCTTCGTGCCCAGGCCAATTTTCAGCTTTCAGCAATGTTGCACATTGAATGACAAATTGCACGGTCATGCAATATTGTGCCCATATGAATTTTATAATTTTTTTTTTCACACAAAGCTTTCTTTGGGTGTTTTATTTTTTGCGCTATAAACAAAAAAAACTAAATATTAGAAAAAAAAAAAAGTTTTTCTTTGTTTCTATTGTAAAATTTTGCAAACTGGTACTTGTTCTCCTTCACGGATGTGCGTTGATGAGGCTGCACTGATAGGCACTGATGAGGTGGCATGGATAGGCAGCACTGATGAGGCAGCACTGACTGGCAGCACTGCTGGGCGGCACTAATGGGCACACTGATCATCAGGGTGCCTTATCAGTGCCAATCCATTCTCTGACAATTCACGGTTCTCGACAGTACTTTCCTCATGTTGCGACAGCATGAGGAAAGTGCAGCTGATAACCGGCAACTGTATTTACCTGGTGAACTGGACACAGCTGATCACGTGGTAAAAGGCCACTGTGATTTGCCTTTTACCACATCACGTGATCACCTGTGTCCGTAGGCAAATACGGCCCTTGCATGGGTGTGCGCTGTGGCTGTTGAGGCCTTAATGAAAAATTTTGAGTTGCCACCAGAAGACTTGTTCCTGCCATAAATGTCTAGGAGATATCCCTCACAGGAAATATATCCTTTCACTTCCTGTTGAGCCTATAGGGCAGAAAGTGATGAGAATTCTATCCAGCAATGGTGAAGGAAAAAAAAAAAATTGTTCGAGCTTTAGATATACTTTAAGTGAAAGAGAAAGAGCGGCTGCTAGTGGGCCACATATTGCCAGCTGAGCTCCACTGAAAAAGTAACATTTCTTTTCAGATCCCATTTAGTTTTTCATTATTTAATATATGCGAGGTGAACTGCTCTTGCAATTTGGAGTGTCACTGCATGCAAAAGTTTTTCATGGCTAAGTGATCTTAAAAAGAACGTGTTAGATAAAAATGGAAATATTGGAGCAGTCACTGCCAACATGTTTTGCAGGTATAAACTACAAGCATGCAATTTTAGGGTTACTTCACTATTTGGGGAGTCGCTGACCAGAACGAAGCAGGACTGTAAGGATTGACACATTCTATGCACACACACGCTTTCAGGTTGGTGGTTCACTGGGTATTGAAGGAGGATGGCAGGCCTGGAGTTTCCAACTCCAAACAACAATTCACAGTAACAGCTCCTATTCTACTCTGATGCACGATGCTACAGTAATGTATAACCACTTTTGAATCTTTGTCATATGGACCCAACAAAGCAAGCATATAGCCAACTGTGGCCAAACAGATCATTGCCCACCTGAAGGGTCACACCCTGCCATGTGTTATGCAATTCTAATTAAGTGAATGAAGCTAGTTACTTACCCTGTCCTCTTCCTGAGAACTCACTGGCTCTCGTTTTTTCTTCTTCACTTTCTTTTCTTTGCTTGGTTGTGTGTGCGTGTCCATATAGGATTGTAGGTCCACTCTTGAATGAAACTGGTATCGTCCACTCTCCACATCACAGTAGTAGTAATATATTCCAGTGGAAGGATCATAATATAGCTGGGATTCCTAATTGCCAAATTTAATAAAATATTATATTGTCACATATTAACATTGTGGTGTTACATTATTTGTCCAGAGGAAGCTGCACCACATAAAACACTGCTGACTGACTGCAAATTAAAATGCAAGGCCTTGTTCACACCATACAGTGGATATAAAAGGTCTACACACACCTGTTAAAATGTCAAGTTTCTGTGATGTAAAAAAGTTAGACAAATGAATAATTTCAGAACTTTTTCCACCTTTAATGCGACCTATAAACTGTACAACTCAGTTGGACAACAAACTAAAATCTTTTAGGTGGAGGGAAGTAAATATAAAAAAAAACTAAAATAATATGGTTGCATAAGTGTGCACCCCTTAATCGAATACTTTGTTGAAGCACCTTTTGATTTGATTCCAGCACTCAGTCTTTTTGGGTATGAGTCTATCAGCATGGCACATCTTGGATTGGCAATATTTGCCCACGCTTCCTTGCAGAAATACTCCAAATCTGTCAGATTGCGAGGGCATCTTCTGTGCACAGCCCTCTTCATGTCACCCCACAGATTTTCCATCAGATTCAGGTCTGGGCTTTGGCTGGGCCATTCCAAAATTTAATCTTCTTCTGGTGAAGTCATTCCATTGTTGATTTGGATGTGTGCTTTGGGTCATTGTCATGCTGAAAAGATGAAGTTCCTCTTCATGTTAAGCTTTCTAGCAGAAGCCTAAAGGTTTTGTGCCAATATTGACTGGTATTTGGAACTGTTAATACTTCCCTCTACCTTGACTAAGGCCCCAGTTCCAGCTGAAGAAAAACAGCCCCAAAGCTTTCCTTTAATGTTGCTGTAGGCCTCTTGGCAGCCTCCCAGACCAGTTTTTTTTTCTCGTCTTTTCATCAATTTTGGAGGGAAGTCCAGTTCTTGGTAATGTCACTGTTGTGCCATATTTTCTCCACTTGATGGTGACTGTCTTCACTGTGTTCCATGGTATATCTAATGCCTTGGAAATTCTTTTGTACCCTTCTCCTGACTGATACCTTTTAACAATTAGATCCCTCTGATGCTTTGGAAGCTCTCTGAGGACCATGGCTTCTGCTGTAGGATGCGACTAAGAAAATGTTGGGAAAGACCTACTATAACAGCTGAACTTTATTTGGGGTTAATTAGAGGCACTTTAAATGATGGCAGGTGTGTATTGACTCCAGTTTACCATGATTTAGAATGTGATTGCTTTATTCTGATCACAGTTACATCCCCTGTTATAAGAGGGTGTACACACTTATGCAACCACATTATTTTAGCTTTTTAAGTTTACTCCCCCCCTAAAAGATTTCAGTTTGTTTTTCAATTGAGTTGTACAGTTTCTAGGTCACATTAAAAGGAAAAGTTGGAAAAAGTTCTGAAATTATTTATCTTTTGTCTCATTTTTTTACATCACAGAAACATCACATTTTAACAGGGGTGTGTAGACTGTACACACTGTATGTGTATAAAAAGTGATGGAAAAAAAAAAGCGCAGATTTGACTTTCAGAGACTTGTTTACATCATGTGCAGATTTATTATGTAGGTCTCTACAAGGACACAAAGAAAACAATTGTTTTCTATGTGCCCTGTTCACACCACAATATTGATGTCACGTGAGGTTTTTTTTTTCTTTGCATTAAACTGCATACACATTGTAGACTTCCGCAAAGTACAAAGACACACGATACCGGTGTGGTGTGGTGGTGTGAGCAGGGAACGTAGAGAACAATTATTTTTTCTTTGGGCCGTAGCAGAAACAGGTGCAGAAAACGTTTACGTCTCTGCACATGGTGTGAAAGAGGCCTATAGCACGGACTTACTGAGTCATAGTAGAAGCCAGTACTGTGATCGTAGTACAGGCCAGTGTTCTCATCATAGGTAAAGCCAGTTTGAGACAAAGCAGCTTCTGCAGTTGCTCTTAGGCTTTCAGCGAGTGATGTTCCTTCCTCACCCTAAAAAGAAAAAAAATTGAAATAAACAAAAAGTTTTTTATTTCACCAATATAGCAAGACAACCATCAGAGTCTCACAAAAATGCGAATTGTTACTGACAAGACGAAAACTTTATATTGCCATGAAGACAAAATGATGCCAACATCTACAACCATATTAGAGCCCGCTTGCACCTTCTGATTGATACTGTGCTGTAGAGGAAGATAAGAATAGATTTAAACTTTCTAAAGTACTTATTAGCTAGATGTGTTTTTTTTATGTCTAAAGAGATTCTTAAAGCATTGGTGAGTTTTCTGCTGGTTGCCACCTTAAAAATATTAAAGAAGCAATAGACCACTATCAGCTGACTCTGGGACATAAGAGTATATTAGTAAATGTACTTCTGTGACCCAAAAGAGAAATACAGATGAAAACTTTTGGCTTTTCTCTTAAAATAGAACTATGGACAAATTTTCGCTAGAGCAAGGAAGGGTTATAACCCCTATCAGATTTTTTTTTTCATCATCTGTGTCCCATTGAGAAGATTTACCTTCAGTTCCTGTCCCATAGCCAAACAGGAAGTGAGAGGAAGCCCCTGAAAATTAAAAGAATTCTTTGCAGACCCCCAGGACACCAGAACTAGTGTCCTCCATTAGAAGATTTTCCCTCTATTACTTTGCTGGGGACAACCCAAAATTTGGGATTTTCTTTTGCTTTCACTTTAAATGATAATGGTAAACAGGACAAACAGAGAGGGGAAATTATTATTATAATTATACAGGATTTATATAGCGCCAAGTTTGCTCAGCGCTTTACAATATAACGGGAGACAATACAGCAACAATACAGTTCAATACAAGAGGTTTAGGAGGGAAATCTCCTTAACATGGGCACAAACAGCAATAAAAATTGACGGGTTCTAATCCCTCTTCACCCTATTCAAAAAAAAAAAAAAAAAAAAACTAGAGTTTTGCCTTTAGTTATACTAATAAAAAAACCACAACAGTAAAATCTGCCTGTATATGCAGTAATGCATGCTTGTTATATTCACTGTGGAACCTAAAATGTTAATCCTCTGCATTGTATAAAAAGGTAGTTTGAACCTTTCTTCTCTGCCCCTTCTCTTGTTCAAATGTCCACGTGTTATCGTCTGATAAGACAGACTAAACCCATAGCCATTCTGCACATGCTCAGTTTGGTGTGTATTGCTAGGGCGCTTTTTTTTTTTTTCTTGGGAGAGTGCATGTGATCAGCACAGGGCCAATCAGCATTGTCCAGACCAGGGTTGGACTGACAACTCATGGGGCCCCCGGGCAATAGGGGTTAATGGGGCCCCTGTGTCCTTGCCCAAACTCAAAAAAGCCTATGAAAAAGGTACCAGGAGCATCTCATGGGGCCCCCTACTGACCTCGGGCCCTCGGGCAGTGCCGGAGTTTCCAAATGGTCAGTCCGCCCCTGGTCCAGACAGAGGTCAGGGGTTTTGCATCCTCCTAGAAAAGAAAGAAAACTCCTCCACAAAACTTTAACCAGTGCTCTGCTTGAACACTGATAGAAGTCACAATAATTGCACTTCCATGTTGTGTGTACTGTGGGAGACCAGATAGAGTGAATGCAAAGTCCTGGGTTTAGTAAGACTTTCATACTATTATATAGGATTTATATAGCGTCAACAGTTTGTGCAGCACTTTACAATATAAATGGAGACAATACAGCAATAATATAATTCAATACATTATTATGTGCAAGTTAACCAGCTGTTGTGTGAATGGGGGGGAAATTGAATAATCTTGGGGGATTTTCGCTTCTGGTTAAAAGTTTTTAAAGTGGAATTCCAGCTTAACCCTGACTACTCTTAAAACTATCCCCTCCCCCTCCTAACACTCATGCTAACTAACCTGTGTAAGAAAGACATATACTGGGTGGGCTGTAAATAGATAAGTATAGATATCTTTCTTACAGGTTAGTTAGCATAGGTGTTAGGAGGTGGAGGAGACAGTTTTAAGAGTAGTCAGGGTTAAGCTGAAATTCCACATAAAATGTATAATAAAGAATTAGCTGGTGCTTCCTCTCACTTTCACTTATGAAATGAGCACTTGCATAATCGGTCAATTCTTCTAACACCAGGATTCCTTTATTGCAAGCAGATACATTAGCCACAGAACTACTGAAAATATTGATCTCACAAACTGGCACAGGCTGCCTTTGGCAGACAGATAATATTGTGCAACAGAAAAACTGGATTTTTTTGTTACCGTAAAATCCCTTTCTCTGAGTTTACTGATGGACACAGCTCTTCTATGCTTGACCATAGGGATGTCACAAAGCAGTGCCTCAATGGGGGGCGCGAACAAAGAAAAATTACAGGAAGCCAGGCAAACAAGCCAATGACCCACACAAGCCCCTCTCAGGGGGAAAAGGAACCTTAAAACTTTGCTGCCAAAAACAAGAAGCAACTTGGTGAAAGTGAGCACAGACAACCAGGTAGTCTTCTGAAGAACAGGAGGCACAGACGCCTGATGTCAGAATGCACAGGGGGCACCAATCACTCTGGAGCAGTGTGCCATGAAGGAGAAGGACAAAGCACGACCCCCAAAAGGTAGAAACACAAACAACCACCTGCTGATCCCTGCAGCACACTTTCTTCCAGGTACAAAGGATGCATACACAGGGAAGGCAGAACAGACTAAACCTGGTGTAAACCAGACACCACCCTCAGAAGGAAGGAGGGACATGCACAGAGAACCCCCTTGTGACAGGGTATGGCCAGCATCCACACCACATACATGGAAGTGAAGAGCCTCGGTGCCCACGGGGATAGTTGCTGCTCCTCCGACAGAGAAGGAACCTTGGGGAAGACCAACAACGTGATGGGGATGGAGGTTCCCACAACTACGATATTTCCAAAAGTAACCATGAAAACCCCAGATATGCAACCCCTCCAAGTCCACTGTCCCTGGATTCATGGATGAGCATATACTAGGATGCCCCTGCAACTAGCACGTACTCCTGAAGGGAAAAATAACAAACCACTTTCAATGTTCCTGCTAATGCAGGCCATAGACGGTTCGTTTATCGGCCGATTTTTCGTCCGAAAAACTAAACATCGTTCGTTCTGTAAACCGACGCTGCCACCAATGATTGCAAAAATCGGCCGTTTTTTCACAAATTTTCCAGCATGACTGATAAATGAAAAATCGGCGGCCAATGCCATTGCCCCACTAACAGTGCGAAAATCGTCCGATTATTCTTTCGGACGAAAAATCGGCCGATAAACGAACCGTCTATGGCCTGCATAAGTAAGCCTGAGGAAACAAAAAAATAAACTGACACAGTAAGTGACTGTGCTCTTTTTATTTGATTGTGGATGATGTGTTTCCATTTGGGTGGGGAGGAGGAGCCTTTTTCTCATGTGCGGTCTTGGAAGATGAATTTGGAAAAAAGTCAATACACTCACTGCTTATTTACCAGTTACAGACTCTGGGCGTGTTATACATGCCCCCCAAAAATGTTAACATTGTACACAAGGCATGTGTAACATGTCCAGTCCTTCTGCCCTGTTTTGTTTCGTTAAATTGTTTAAGGATTGCGAAAAGTAAACTGTTGCTAGACAATATTAATGAAAAAAGCCTGGTTTCTTGTTTAAAAAAAAAAACAGTATATGTATTACATTTTTATCTTAAGTAATGACAAAGTTATTGCTGAATAAACAGGCCCATAGTAGAAATGTAAAACGTGTTTCAAGTGTTCCAGTCAAACCCTAACTAAGCCTAAATCTGCTCCCCATCTACCCTGTTAAAGTGTCTACACTTACCTATTCTAAAGGCACTCTAGTCTGGTCACATGACAGACTTCCAATGGTGGCTTCAGTGTAGAGGAGAGGCAACAGCTACAGAGCCTGGGCGATGACGTCACCCAAAGGCTTACTATGGGGCATCCATTGTTGCTGTACCTCCTCTATACTGAAGCCGGAAGCCAGTGATGTGCCCAGAGCGGCTTTAGAATAAGTATACAAATCTTTTTCTTTTACAGGGTAGATAAAATAGTCTTGGAATGGGGGTGGGAGTAGATTTAGTCTTAGGGTATGCCTGGAATTCCACTTGTAAAGTCAGGAGGCAGTAGGGACCTGTCAGAGCAGTAAGTGTATATACTTTTTCTGTTTGCAACACTGTTTCTATCTGCCAAAGGCAATCATCAGTGTCAATTTAAGTACGGCTACAGGGCAGCACGGGTGCACAAAATCACTTATATATACGTGATTTTGCATTTCCGGGTAGGGGGCACGTGCAAGCTGCATGCACACCCTACCCGTGCCGCCATTACTCACAGGCGCCCGGTGATTGCCGAGCATTTCCAGCGGGGGGGGGGGGGGGGGGGGCTGGGGGAACTGTTTGTAAACAAAACAGTTCTCTCCCCTGTCAGCTCCTGCACACTGCTTTGTATGGCTGTGTGTGTAGCACAGCCATGCAAAGCAGTGTGCTTACAGTGAAGCGCTAACACAGGACACAGTGTAAAACGGCACACAGCACACAGTTAACCCTTTGATCGCCCCGCATATTAACCCCTTCCTGCTCAGTGCCGTTAGTACAGTGTTAGTGCTTTTTATTACAACAGATCACTGTATTGGTGTCACTGGGGATGTCAGTGACACAAAGTCAGTTCCCCCCAGTGTCAGAATGCCCGTCGCAGTTCAGCTATAAGTCGCTGATCACCACCATTACTAGTAAAAATGTTCAAAAAAAATTCCAGTATCTATATTGCCATTTCTAAATGCAATAACGTTCACGTAAACCAATTCATTTACATTTTTTTTTTTTTTTTTTTTAGCAAAAGACATGTAGCAGAATACATTCTGACCTAATTTTATGACGAAATGTGATTTTTTTTAATTTTTACTGGACATATTTAAATAGCAAAAAGTCAAAAATATTGTTTTTGTTTTTTTCTCAAAATTGTCGGTCTTTTTCTTTTCTAATAGCGCAAAAAACTTAAAAAAAACGAACAGGTAATCAAATACCACCAAAAAAAGCTCTACTCGTGGGAAAAAAAAAAAAAAAAAAAAAGGATGTAAATTTAATTTGGGTGCAGCATTGCATGACCATGCAATTGTCAGTTAAAGTAACACAGCATCGTAATGCAAAAAATGGCCTGGTCAGGAAGGGGGGGGGGGGGGGGGGGTAAATCCTCAGGAGGGCAAAGTGGTTAAACTAAAGCACTTTATGGCTAATGTGTCTACTTACAACACTGGTGGTAAAGAGATGCATGAAGAAAGCATTTTTCTATGCATATTGTAAATGATTTGTTTGCAGTCCTTCCATGGTAAAAACAACATCTAAGCATTCCAGCCAAAGATAGAGATTAAATTATTTTCTTTATGTTTCCATTATGTATAGAACATCCAATTTTTATATTACCAGTAAGAATCAATAGAATTTATCCTACCACAACATGTTGGGCATAATCTGTTTCTTGTTCTCCTCCTGCACATGGACTGCTGTCTGCTTTGGGGGGTTCCTGTTCATCTGTTGCTGTTTCTGGGGTCACCTCAGTTGGGCAGCTTTCCTGGTTTGCATCCACGTTGGTGGATGTACTTGTGTTTTGATTTTCATAATAGGAATAGTAGTAGTTGTAGTAATCTGCAAGAACATCAACAAAAAAAAAAGGAAAAAAGAATATATGCGTGTTTAGTAATCATCTGTGCAATCGTAAAATATGAACAAAAGCTGTACTGCTTTTCCTGTGGCTCTTGTTAATGTGTCGAGATTTTATAGGTACACATCCCCAACAGTTTGATACTTTTTTTTATTATATTTTTATGTTAACAGTGTTGCATTCACACAACTTATGAGCATGGTAACAAAGAAATATTTAAATTTGATACATTTAAAGTTTTGATTTAAACCTAGGTTCTGCTACATAATGCTGTGTATTTATAGTACATTTTTGTGCTTCATGAGTGTTTTGGCAGAGGTAGAGACTGACCGTTTAGCACAAATCCCTGCCGAAAATACTTAAAGCGGAGTTCCAGTCCCCAGAAGAAATTGTTTTTAAAATTTGACCCAGGATTGCCTTTTTGAGAACATTAACAATTGGATAGTTATAGCCTTCTAATTCATTTTAAATATGTAAATCTTTACCTTGATGTCGGAAGCAGGCAGGAGCCATGATGGCTGTGGGCATCTGAAGCTCACAAGGCTTTTTTTTCCTGGAGTTGGTGCTGCTGGTTATCCCAGCATGCACCACTTGATCACGCGCCTGCGCAGTACTGACACTGCTCGACGCTACTTGTATATAACAGGTTGTCTTAACAATGGCAGGGACGGCAGAAGTTCCCGCCTCCTTATGGCAACCTGTCTATCAATTCACACCAGGGAGAAGGCAAGTGAAGTCTGGTAACGGAGCAAGACCCACAACAATTAGAACAACACAGATCTTACACTTCCTTCCTACACTGGACTAAGGTAAAATGGTGCCAAACTCCGCCCATTTGTGTCACCTCTGGTTTCAAAGTAATGCAATATTCAGTCACTAGGAACCCAAAGGACTCCTGGGATACAGGAAAAGACATCCCAGGAGACGTTGCGAATCACCTTAACACATCGCCTAGGCGGCCGGAACCGGAAATGCAGACCTGAAATACGATTTTAAGGTATTTACATTAAGAAAAAAATTGTTTTTATCCGAATCGTGCTGGACAACACACGAACCATGTAATCAGAGAAACTAAAAAATGGTGGAACTCCGCTTTAAACATATGTACAAATGCATTTCTTACACTTCCATTGAAGTCTATGAGGCCAAAACCGTACTATGCTGCAACAAAAGAAGCACTTGCACCTTTTTGAAAATTGTACTGCACCATGTTACATTGATGTGAAAAGGCACCACAGAGAATAATGTGATTTCCATTGTTTTGCATGGCAACATGACTGCAACAGCAGAAAAAAATGTTTGTGTGAATGGAGCCTTACACATTCTTAGAAATAAGATGCAAGTCTGCTTACCTGACCAGGCAGAGTAATCATCAGTTTGCACTTCCTTGTCAGTCTTTACAGATTTACTATGTTCATGGATTTCTTGACATAAATCTTCAACCTGCCAAACAAAAACGGGAGTGCTGATAACTTTACAAAAGTAAAAATACTTTAAAGTCATTGATGTGGTAAAAATTAAGTGGTATTAAATAAAAAAAAAAAAAAAAAGGAGAATGTTAGTGTAAGAATTATGAACTATTTAATTTGGCATTTCCAGGATGCATAAAATTGCTCTCTGCAGAAATCCTTAAAGCAGAAGAGCAGTGATAGTGCCAAACAGGACAAATAGCTTTCCCTAATAGGGGCACAGACACCATTTGTTGTTCTAAAAAAAAAGAAGTAGAAAAAAAAAACCCGACTTAAAATGGAAGTTCACTGAAAAGGGGAGGTTCCACTCTTCCTCCACCCCCCCCCCCCCTTCCAATATAGCACTTGATTTTTTGGGGGGGGCAGGAATAGTTGGTTCTATGTTTTGCCCAGTTTGCATCTCCCTTCCTTTGCATCACAGAAAGCTGTGGGTAGCGTAACACGGCTCATACATGTGCAGTAAGCAGCCGGCTGTCAGGCTGCAAGTAGTCACAGCCAGCTGTCCACAGTTAGTATGCAGGCTCAGGGGACCGAAACCCAGTAGAGAAACCAACCGAGTGAGGACAGCACTGGATCCTGGGACAGGTAAGTGTCCGAATATTAAAAGTCAGCAGCTAAAGTATTACTGTAGCTGCTGACTTTTCATTTTCAAAGGAACACTGAAGAAGCACTTTAAGCGGAGTTCAAGTTGAAAAAAAAAAAAAAAAAAAAAAAAAAAACTGTAGCTGCTGACTTAAAATACAGACACTTACCTGTCCCTCGGTCCAGCTGTGTCCTCACCATGGCTGGTTTCACTGGCCATCTTCTCTCCCTGGCGCCGGCATCTTCAGTGGGGGCATCCGGCTGTGACAGCTTGCGGCTTCACAGCCGGGTGTCCACTACGCATGCGTGAGAAATGCTGCGCTTTGTGAATGGCTCTGTAGTCTTCTGGGACCTGTCATGTGTCCCAGAAGACTACGGGGAGGGGGGGGGGGGGGGGGGGGACGACGACACAACTTCCGTTTCCAATCACTGTAGGTGATCGCAGCAGAAGTGGAAGCAGATACCTCAATGGGGATCGGGGGACAAAGACGTAACGTGGAACTTCCCCTTTTGGGTGGAGCTCCACTTTAAGAAGTAGGCCAGGAAATAAGGAATAAAATCCCTATGCATGTATTGGAAAGATGTACTGCATTTTTATTTTAAGAGCCTGCAAGTACAGTATAATACCTGTTCATTAACCAGAAATGCACTCAACTTTTAAAGGACAAGTTCACCTTAAAAAAAAATAAAAATGAATAAATGCATATTTGTGCAGGTAAACAAATGTGCATTTACAATGTCAGGCTCCTGTACACTCTTCCTCCAGCTTTGGGCCCATACCGCCATACAGGCTGCAGGAAGAGGGAATGGACTATGAGGGCAATCATCAGAGACAGAGGCCAAGCTGCCCCGGCTGTAAAGCATAGGAGTGTTTAGTTCTACCTCACGGTGGTAGTAAAGTCTGATTTAACACTTGTACCTACAGCTACGCTTATAATAATAGTTAGCACTTCTGTCTGGCAGTACTTGGGTCATTGGTTTTGAATGCCAACCACCACGGCACCACCTGCCTGGAGTCTCCATGTTCTCCCTGTGCCTGCATGGGCTTCCTCGGGGTACTCCGGTTTCCTCCCACGCTCCAAAGACATGATGATAGGTTAGTTGGATCCTGTCTAAATTGTCCCTAGTATGTGTATGTATGAATGTAAGTTAGAGACCTTAGATTGTACACCCCTTGAGGGTTAGGGACTGATGTGAATGTAATATGTGTAATAAAGTGCTGCGTAAATTGACGGCGCTATATAAGTACCTGAAATAAAAATAAATAATAAGTCTTACTGAGAATGTCTCCTAAATGTGTTCCATTTAGCAGATAGTCACAGTGCCAGCAGCGGTGATGTCACTGACACATGTGCAGTGCGTTCTGCATTCAGGGCACATTGAGTCAATGCAGACAACCGTGTCATAGACATGGCTCCCATGTGCCTGTGTGGGAGTGACACCATTGTGGCCTGGCCATTCAAACATCTGGAGCGTGCAGACCCAGAAGGAAGACCAGGTGAAGATGGAAGTGCCTGCAGTGGTGACAGTGTGCTGTTGGAGAGCTTTATTTAACCACTTGATCTCTGGAATGTTTTACCCACTTCATGACCAGGCAGTTTTTTGCGATTTAGCACTTTGCTACATTAATTGGTAATTGAGTGTTCATGCAACGCTATACCGAAACGAAATGTATATAGATTCTTTCACATGATCAGATCTTTATTTTTGTGGTATTTGATCACCACTGGGTTATTTTTTTGCGAAATAAACAAAAAGTTTTGGGAAAAAAAAACTAAATTTTTTTAACTTTCTGCTGCAAAACATATCCAACAGAAAATTAAAGAAAAATTATTTCTTCATAAATTTTGGCCAAAATGTATTCTGCTACATGTCTTTGTGAAAAAAATCCCAATAAGTGTATACTGATTTTGTGAGAAAGTTATAGAGTCTACAAACTACGATATATACACTGGATTTTTTATTTTTATATACTACTAATGGCGGTAATCAGTTACTTATAATGGGACTGTGATAGTGCAATGGACAATCTGACACTGGGGGGGGAAACTGACTGACACCACCAGTGACATTAACCATCTCCTGTCCGTCCGTTGTATATAAACGGCTGGACGGTGGCAGTGCAGAGTCGGGTAGCCGTTTATAAACGGCCTCCCCGGCCCCTGCTTGTGCGCGTTCCCTGGGAGCACGCAGCACCGCGATCCAGTCGGATGGGACCTCTGTGCGAGGTCCCGATCATGTGATCACTGATTGGCCAATCAGTGAACACATGCAGAGTAGCAGGGTGGATAAAAATCAATGATTTTTTTTTATTTAAATCGATTTTTTTTTTAAATAAAATGCTTTTTGAGGAAAATATATTACCATCCAAAGGTTATTCCATCATGAAATAAAGATTCGTTTTTTAATTATGTAGAATAAGGCTGTATAAGTTTAATTTTTTTGGTAAATAAATTCCATTAATCCATTCACAATGTCATGCTCTTCCAGAGGTTTTTGTAAGATTATTGGGCAGTTTCTCTGCTTACAAGATATTATCACAGATGCTTGGTTTACTTTTGCAGTTCTCAGCGGAGATCACATGCCTCTTCTTCACAGCAAAAATGTTATAACATGAACAGAGTTAAGAAAAAGACCTTAATCCTAACTTCTACAAACCTATGAATACAGAATCAACCCCTTCAGTGCTAAGTTTCAAGAAGTTCAGTGAATAGAATAGAAACAATATTTTTCTGATTGTTTGGAGTGGAATAGATCTGCACAAGAAGAAAGTGAAGCTAAGTGTGAGGAGGAAGGGGCTGACAGTCTAAGTTTCTTAAAATATATATATTTTGTTTAGCCAAATTAGTTAAGAAACATGGATGTCTGTTTAAGCAAATCACATATGCTGGAATGTTATTGTTTCAGTTGAATAAATCTATTTAAATTGTTATTATTAAGGTAATGATTATTTTTCTCCTTCCTAAGTACAACAGAAAAGTTGTCCAAATATGAATGATTAACCTATTAAACTGGGGATAAAAAACGAATATGAAAAGTTGTTATTCTAAAAATCTTCATCTACTTGCATATTAAAGTTATACCAGCAAGAATTAGTCTTTATGTAGAAAACTAGGATTTAAATCAAGCCTTACTGACTAGTGATTTAAATCGTGATTTGAATCAGTTTGATTTAAATCAAATCCACCCTGCAGAGTAGTAAGCAAGATTGCCTACTACCTGCGAAATGGTACAAATGGTCACATGGTACAAGGCTATTCACAACAGCCTTGTACCATGTGACAAGCTGTGACCAATCACAGATCACACAGTAGTTCTCAATGGCTGCAAGAATGCAGCCAGAGAGAAGGAGAAATGATTGTTTTTACAGCCTTTATGGGTGTAAAATCAATCAGTGTATCATAAAAAAAAAAATATTCATCACCCCCCACAAGTAGTACAGTGTCACCATGGTGACACCGTACTGCTAGGGTGACAGTATTTAAAAAAAAAAAAAAAAAAAAAAAAAAAAATGTAAAAAAAGTTTAAAAATTATAAATTTTGGTTATAAACTAATTTGGGTTATTTTTTTACTAAAAAGATAATGGAATAATTTTTGGTCAAGATTTATGATGAAATATTATTTATTTGCAAAATTTTATAAGAAAAACACTTTTTTTCAAAATTTTGGGACTTTCATTTACTGTCACTGTACTAATGACACTGGCTGGGAAGGGGTTAACATCTAGGGAAATCAAGGGGTTAAATGTGTCAAACTACGTGAAATGTGTGCTGCTTTTAAAAATCTAAAAGATCTCTAAGTTTCTCATCCCTGCTTTAAAATGATGAGAAGCACAGAGAATGTTCCCTCTATACAGATCTCTGTGTTGATTGTCAACATAGAGCTCTGATCTGTTATGGGACACTACCGATTAGCAGATCTCCCCCCCATCACTGGCCAGGACTTGCTGACAGACTCCTGCTGTGTACAATCACAGAAGACAGTGTTTCTCCATGACTGTATTGCAGCACTTAGTTCAAATGCCAGTCAGGACACTATCTGCATGGAGTTTGCATGTTCTCCCTGTGTTTGTATAAATTTCTTCCCACACTCCAAAGACAGGCTGGTAGCTTAACTATCCCCCTGTATGAATGTGAGGTAGGGATCTCAGATTGCACGCTCCTCGGGGGCGGGGACTCAGGTGACAGTACTGTAGGTAAGCTGTTTGGGTGGGGGCTGACCTGCCTCCTGAGCTCCTGGTTGGTGCTCTCTGCGGTCTGGTGCTGTCTCTGGCTGAGGCTCAGTTGTCTCTGGATACGGCACAGCTCTTCTTGACAGCTCCTCAGCTCTTCCTCCAGAGCCTGTACTCTATGGCACAGATCAGGCTCCGCACATGGGGCTCCGCGCTCCTCCTCCGCGGGGACTCCGCCCCCCAGGCACGACTCTTCTTCCACACCCGGCCCCTCTCCATTTTGGTCCATAACACCGCACACAGTTCACATCACTGACCACCACCACCCATCACTGCCTCTACGAATCCAATGCTTCCTGATGCCAGACGCGACCAGATGATGTCACGTGAAGCCCAGCGGCCATTGTAGAAATGGGCAAGACCCCGCAGCAGCTGTAAAGCACGGAATAGACTCCTATATGAGGAGCTCGGGCGGGGAAGGGTTTCAACGCGATGACTTATGATAGTATGAAGGTGAGGCCCGACGCAGTCAGGTCCGGTCATGTTCCCGGCTCCGCCCCGCTGGGTGTTACCTAGGGCCGCAGCGTGACGTCGCCCGGAGTTCCAGGAAGTAAGGCCGCCATTTTGTAGAAGACAGAGCCCGCTGCAGACTCATCCTACTCGCACTGTAAGCTCTTACCGATTTTAGTGAGGCAAAATTCAAACTACTTCCCGAACTGTCAAGTGGGGGGAGGGGGGCAGTTCCAGCCACAGGAATGATGTATAGCGGGAGCAATGAATGGGACAGCTGGGGGGGAGGGGAAGCAAAGCAGGAGCCCCATCAATAGGAATGGTGTGTTTTCTTCTAGAAGTGTGATGTGTACAGGCGGTGATACAAGAGCAGTGAGAGTCCTCAAAGTGTATGGGAACTCCAGTGTCCTCTGTTACACTCCTTACATGGCCAATAGATTTTCATTTTAGGCTTATTTCCCTTTGCTTTCACCTGGTGATCTTGACCATAACACTCTTCCTGTTCTAAGGTGACAACACTCACCCTGCTGTATCTATGGAGGAGCAGTGTTGTCACCTTCAAGTGGTAGTAAACTAATATATAATGTGTGTGTATATATTGTATGTACAGTGAAGGAAATAAGTATTTGATTCCCTGCTGATATTGAATGTTTGCCCACTCACAAAGAAATGATCAGTCTAAAAATCGAATGGTAGGTGTATTGTAACACTGAGAGATAGAATAGCAACAAAAAATTCAAAAGAAATGCATGTCTAACAAATGATGCACTGATTTGCATGTTCATGAGGGAAATAAGTATTTAATCCCCTATCATTCAGCAGGATTTCTGGCTACCAGGTGTCTTTCATACAGGTAACAAGCTGAGATTAGAAGCAGTCTCTTAAAGGGAGTGCTGCTAATCTCATTTTGTTACCTGTGTAATGACAACTGTCCACAGGAGCAATCAAACAATCAGATTCCAAACTCTCCACCATGGCAAAGATCAAAGAGCTGTCCAAGGATGTCAGGGACAAGACTGTAGACCTTCACAAGGCAACAGTTGGTGCAATCATTCGCAAATGGAAGAAACACAAAACAATGGTCATTCTCCCTAGGTCTGGTGCACCATGCAAGATCTCACCTCGTGGAGTGTCAATGATCATGAGAACAGTGAGGAATCATCCCAGAACTACATGTGAGGATCTTGTCAATGATCTCCAGGCAGCTGGGACCACAGTCACCAAGAAAACAATTGGTAACACACTACGCCGTCAAGGACTGAAACCCTGCAGTGCCTGCAAGGTCCCTCAGTTCAAGAAAGCACATGTCCAGGCCTGTCTGAAGTTTGCCACTGAACATCTGAATGATGCAGAGGAGGACTGGTTGAAAGTGTTGTGGTCAGATGAGACTATAATGGAGGTCTTTGGCATCAACTCGCCGTGTTTGGAGGAGGAGGAATGCTGCCTATGACCCCAAGAACACCATCCCAACTGTCAAACATGGTGGTGGAAACATTCTGCTTTGGGGCTGTTTTTCTGCTAAGGGGACAGGACAACTGCACTGCATCAAAGGGACGATGGACGGGGCAATGTACTGTCAAATCTTGGGTGAGAACCTTCTTCCCACAGCCAGGGCAATGAAAATGGGTCGTGGATGGGTCATGACAATGACACAAAACACACGGCCAAGGCAACAGAGGAGTGGCTCAAGCAGAAGCACATTAAGGTCCTGGAGTGGCCTGGCCAGTCTCCAGACCTTAATCCAATTGAAAATCTGTGGAGGGAGCTAAAAGTTTGAGTTCCCAAACGTCAGCCACCAAACCTTAATGACTTGGAGAGGATCTGCCAAGAGGAGTGGGCCAAAATCCCTCCTGAGATGTGTGCAAACCTGGTGGCCAACTACAGGAAACGTCTGACCTCTGTGATTGCCACCAAGTACTAAGTCATGTTTTGTGAAGGGGATCAAATACTTAATTCCCTCGTGAACATGCAAATTAGTGCATCATTTGTTAGACATGCACTTCTTTTGAAATTTGTTGTTGCTATTCTGTCTCAGTGTTACAATACACCGAACACGTGCGTGTGCGTGTGCGTGTGCGTGTGTGTGTGTGTGTGTCTTTTAGGGGCTCCCAGGTGGATTATGCAATAGATTGCTTCCCAGTTCTTTCTCTTCAGCTGCTTGAATGGCCAGGCTCAGATGAGGTCACTCCCATGTCATGGGAATCACATCACCGCAGCACAAATTGGGGGTCATAGATGTATGCTGAGCTGCACATGCACAGCTTAGTATACATTAAGGCAGAGGGACGCATTATAACAGGAGAGCCCAACCGTGTTTCTTCCATCACAAATTCCCTGCCTGTCAGCATGTTTTTAAAAATTGGGTTTAAAGCGATACTAAAGGCTTAACTTTTTTTTTTTCTCTACAAATAACCAACATGTCTATAGAAACCTGCTGTGTACAGTGGTTTTGCACAGATCAGCCCGGATCCTTCTCTTCTCGGGTCCAACGCAGGCTCCTGGTTCCTTGGGTACCTCCACAGCAAGCAGCTTGCTATGGGGGCACCCTCTGCTCTGTATGTCCATTCACACATGAAGCCATGGCTCGGCCCTGCCCCCTCTCTCTCTCCTCATTGGCTCACAGGCTGTAATTGACAATGGCTCCCATTGCTGTTTCAGTCAATGAGGAGAGGGAGTCCCGGGATAGCTGAGACTCCAGTGCATGTCGCTGGATCGAGAGTGAGTATTGGGGGGATGCTGCACAGAGACGGTTTTTTTACCTTCATGCATGGAACGCATGAAGGTAAAAAATCTTGAGCCTTTACAACCACTTTAATACAACTGTAAGACAATATGTTTGTCAGGACTACAGAACTTCCCACTCACTCCGCTCTCTGTATCACAGGGGTGGTGTTTTGCAGTCCTAACACACTTTCTGATAACCTTTTTTAACTGCTTTCCTACCGATATATGTATATATCTGCCCTGATAGGGAAGCGGTTATGCCGGGATCATGGTTGAGGCTACAACCATGATCCCGGTATCTTATTTTTAGCCCCAGCAATCCTCTTTTATGTAAAAGCAGCCGCTGGATTGCTTTTAAAGTCGGTGGAGGGGGGGGGGGGGGGGGGGGGGGGGGGCGACCAGGGAGCTTAGTAAGGATGCAATCGGCGGCATCCAGCTCTGGCCTCACAGTGAGAGGAATTGAAGTTTTTCCTCCCACTGTGTGATGTCAGAACCCAGAAGTGACGATGATTTAGTTGCTTCCAGTTTTGACCCTTTGTTTACTGGTCAGTCACCGGCCAGTGAAACAGCCGATCAGACCGATCTGTGTCTAATCGGATACATTGGAGCCCAAATGAGAGATTGGAGGGGGGGGGGGGGGGGTCTAATAGAAATAGAAAATTTAAAGAACAAAGTTTAAAATAATATTTTAGGTGTCCACCACGCCCTGTGCTAACATGCAGTAGTGAACAGCTATATGAACAGTGATCGCACCACACAAGTGAGGTATCACTGCAAACACCAGAGCAAGAGCAATAATGCTAGCACCAGACCTCCTGCGTCAATAAAACTGGTAACCTAGAAAGGCTTTTTAAAGCGTTGTCTATGAATAACTTACATTACTATAGTTTGTCGCCATTCAATCTGCTTGTGCAATTTTAAAGCGTGACATGTTTGGTATGTATTTACTCGGTGTGTCATCATCTGCTATATTTTACCATAAAAAGTGGTATTATACTGTGTTTGTGTTCATCAAAATTCATTCAGCTGTGAGCTGAATCGGTTAAGGACGCAGCAACCCCACTCCATGCACTTTTTTTTTTCTTTTTAAGCAATGTTAGTTTAAAAATAAGTAGTGTTACTGCACATTAAAAGTGCACATTTTAATCTGGAATTTGTCCTTTTTTAAAATGAATTAAAATTATGATTCTTTGCACACAACATTGAAAAGTTATTTACAAATCAAATAAATTATTTTTTTTCGATTTTGAACTTTTTTTTTTCAATGTGAAATGTGTAAATATATGTTAAAGGTGTACAATATTAATAACGGCAAACAAAAACAAAGAAAAGTTTTAATTATCAATGGTGTATAAAATTATTATTATACAGGATTTATATAGCGCCAACAGTTTGCTCAGCGCTTTACAATATAACGGGAGACAATACAGCAACAATACAGTTCAATACAAGAGGGAAAGGAGGGCCTTGCTCCTTGGAGTTTACAATCTACAAAATAGAAATTACCCCAAAAAAGTACACGGAGAAGGAGAATAAGGAGTTAATTAGGGCTGATTAGAGTAACTTGAGGGTTAATAAAGGGTTAAACAGAGGAAAATTAAAAGAAAAAAACTTGACAGGTTTCAGATCAGTTCATACCTTTTAATCTGTAGATTAATAAACAGAAAGATACAAAATGAAACAATGTTTCTTTTTATCTTTCTCTTTTAGTGGCTGAGCAATGTTGTTGATAAACATTGTCAGGTTACTTTTTTTTTTTTTTTCTGACAGGTTCAGTTGCTGGGACGTTACTTTTGTATACACTGTAGTTGTCAGCAGTTAGTTCACCTTTACAGAAAAAGGTGCAGTAACACTGTACACCCTCATTGACATTTCAATAAAAAAAACACATACAGTGCAATGCACTTAAATATTGCACTGCCTTCTCTCAAACCTTAACTGATAGCTGCCCTGGATAGTAAAACCCGCATTTTACTCTGCTAGGAGGTTGCTCAGTCACCCAACTACCACCTCTTCCATTTAGAAAACCTCTTGTATTATTTTTATTGAATACAACCCCCCCCTCCCCTCCTCCAACCACAGAATGCCTTGTATTCAATTAAAAGCCAGAACTGTAACTCTCAGCACCAAATGTCTAGTGCTTATTGTAGTGTGCAGAGGGTTTTACTTACATCAGCATCCATGTATCATGCGCTTCATTAGTGGCAATTTATTTTTACAGTGCAAAAGTCTTAAAATCGTTTTTGCCCAAAGTTGAGCTTGATGAGGGAATGTCTGAGGTTGACAGGGTTTGGTTTAATCCATAACTTATATCTTTTATCCCTTGTAGGCTTTGGAAAACATTCTAAAAAAGAATGACTGTCTGTGCTGCGAACGGCTGTAAGAATCGCCTGTCAAAAGGATGTGGCAAGCATTTTTTTAGGTAACAAGTGCAATATGTAATTTATGTTAAAACAGACTTGTATTCAACACTATATGATGTTAACGCTTTTCAAGGGCAAATTAAGGACCGGTTCACACCAGAATCACACTGGAACGTGGTCTGCATTCCTGTGCAATTCCTGTACGTTCCCCTGCAGTGTGATTTGGCAGCCTTTTGATGTGAAATTGCACCAGAACGCATAAAAAGTAGTGCATGCACTACTTTTGAAAAGCGCACCTCACTAAATTTCAGGGTACTGTGCTACCATGTTATATGGTGCCCACAAATGCACTGCATCTGCGTGCGGGGTGCCACTAACAATGTATTAACACCGACAGCAGAATGCAGAATGCAAAGGTAGTGCGGTGAAATGGCTCCCACTTCTGTCTCACCAATGAGGATAGGGATTCCGGAGATAGCAGAAGCTCCAGTGCACATCGCTGGAACGAGAGGGGGCTTGCGTGAGTATTGGGGGGGATGCTGCACAGAGAAGGTTTTTTTACCTTCATGCATAGAATACATGAAGATAAAAAACCTTGAGCCTTTAGAACTATTTTAAAGGAAAAAAAAACAAAAAATAATGCATTCACCACATCTAAGGACTGGCAAACTGAAATATATTAAAGTTTAGCTTCTGGGTTTAAATACATTTTAGAGGGTGGAACTATAGTAATATGAAAAAGTGAATGGCGTTATACCATCATATAACATTAGTTGTTCTTATAGTGTAGACATGCTTTGTATACAAGAGTTGCAACATTGTAATATATCATATAATTGTTTAAAAAAAACACTATTTTTAAAACTTCTACTATTCGTATATTAAACTATAGGAGCTGCAACATGATACAGTACTCTGAAATGCAACAATGTGACAATTCTCATTTGTCCACAAACCTCAGTCATAGTTTTTAGACCCATAATCTGCAGAGTCAGCCAGTTTGCACATAAATCCTGCCCTGACCAAGAACCTAGACCTTCACGCTTGTGGCCACAGCATTGGTGGTAGTCTAAATCAATAATTTCTCAAGGATAGGTAAAAATACTAAGAATTGTGGCTGCAGAGCAATAATGTAAACGACAAGGCACACTGATTAGAAATAAAGGACTGGCAGAGATCGAAAATAATTTTTTTTGTTTGTTTTGTTTGCTTTACTTATTTCCACTTGAACAGTCAGTCTGTCTACATAGACACATAGCTATGTTGTGGAAGGATAGATGATGATGAATATTTGCCTGCCCTATATAATAGCAACACCTCAATATACAGTAAAGACCGCATGAAGAAGTGTTCCAGCATTGTCTTCTGCCCTGCTTCAAATCATTCCCCCATGTAGTAGTGTCCTCTGCACCCGCAACAGTAGTCTCCTCTGGCCCCCCCCTCACACACAATAGTGTCCTCTGCCCCCCATCCCCACCATAGTAGTGTTCTCTGCACCTTACCCACAACGGTAGTGTCCTTTGGCCCCCCTCACACACAACAATAGTGTCCTCTGCCCCCCATCCCCCCCACCATAGTAGTGTCCTCTGCACCTTACCCACAACGGTAGTGTCCTTTGGCCCCCCTCACACACAACAATAGTGTCCTCTGCCCCCCATCCCCACCATAGTAGTGTCCTCTGCACCTTACCCACAACGGTAGTGTCCTCTGGCCCCCCTCACACACAATAGTGTCCTCTGCCCCCCATCCCCACCATAGTAGTGTCCTCTGCACCTTACCCACAACGGTAGTGTCCTCTGGCCCTCCTCACACACAACAATAGTGTCCTCTGCCCCCCATCCCCACCATAGTAGTGTCCTCTGCACCTTACCTACAACGGTAGTGTCCTCTGGCCCTCTTCACACACAATAGTGTGCTCTGCCACCACCACCACCATATATGTAGTGTGCTCTGAAAGCCCCCCCCCCCCCCGATAGCGGTTTTCTGTCTCCCCATTGTAGTGTCCTGTGCCCCCCATAATAAGTGTTCTCTGTCCCCCACAAGTATTGACATTTGCCCTATTCACAACACACAGCCATTTGTAGGTACCTCTCCTCCTACCTTACACTGGCTGTAAATCAGAGCAGAGTGAGAGGCAGCACACTGCTGGGTGGGGGGCGGGAGCTGTCAGAGGTAGCTTTTCATGTTAAGCTGATGATTGGTTGCTTGGACTACCTAGCAACCAATAACCTGCTGGTTAACTAAAGCAGCTCCCCTGTTCCTGCCCTCCACCCAGCACTGTTTTGCCTCTCACTCCGCTCTGCTATTAAAGGGAGAGTGGCTTAGGCTGGGCAGAAGCAGCGGCACATCCCTGATCGTGATCTACCCATCAGCTTCCCGCAATTGACAGGTTGCCGACCCCAGCCTTAAAGTGTAGCTAAACTTTTTTCCAATATATTGTTTATCGCCTTCATTTTTGTACCTGCATTCAGCCAGTAGATGGCGCTATCTCATTTGACTAACTTACAGCAACTGGCAGAAATCCTTGTGATGCACTTTGGCTCTGCAGGGTTTTCTTTAGAGATTCACATACACTGCAAAATAATATTGAGTGTTTCTGATGCACATACCATCTATCTTTTTGCTTTCTTTTTACATTTTTATAGAAGCCAGAGTATACCAAGCACCCCTGGTAAGGACAATGTTATCTCAACACCGGACATATTTATATTCACGATCTTTACTTCAAATGTGCATGAATATTTTCTGAACAATCTTTTGTTTTTAGAACAACTAGGATATTAACTTATCTTTAATTTTTTCTAAAGTGGAAGTAAAGGATAACTACAATTGTTGTTAGAAATTTTGCTTTCCCCTCCTACTACCTATGCTGCATAGCCTTTAAAAAGAGGTCTGTGGAAATACTTTTTTTATTTATTTCTTTTTTTTTTAATACGCTCATTACAGTCTGTGGCTCCACTGCACGGGAGGGAGTGCTAATAACTGATGGGCAATAGAAGCTGGCATTACAGCACCAGCAATTCAGAAACGTTGTCAAGCTCTCCCTGACACAGGGAAGCTGCTCCTTCTTAATCATTTGACCACACCAGAGCGGATTCACAAAAAGGTATTTTTCCCTCCAGCAGTGGTGGATCACTTTTCAAAGGGCATTATAGCAATGGCTGGCATTCAAGAGGCAATGCCAGCTGTCAAACTCTACAGGCCAGGTTAAAATATCTGTGCAGCAAAGCATCATACCTGAGGCATGTATACAGCACTGTCTGGCTATAATGTTAGAATTTAGGTGGGTGGCTGATAAAATCATGGTTCAGCAACTTTTTTTTTTTTTGCAACATGGTAAAGGTAGTTCACCAGTGTGGTTTAGAGCCAGGTCTGTTGATGATAATCGTATTAAAGTAGCAGCACACAATGTAATCGCTATCCAAGAATAGGAAACAGTGGAGGCACAGGGGGATGCTTTGGTGTACTAAAGCAAACCCAAAATTTCATTAAGCATTCCTATAGCACTTCCTTTAGCATCCACCATTGCAGTCTGTATTCAATGTTCTTAAATGAAATTTGAATTACTTAAAATATGTATTGAGCCTTAAAATTGCTGGTTGTGCAATAGAGGACTCGCCCTGGAGTGAACTTGTGGCTCCCTGCTGTTTAACACCTAATTTATATTTGCAGCAGGCTGCTAGGGCTCAGGGATGAAACTGACTGAGAGTGTTCCAAATTTCCCTAATCCCAGCCAGTTCCCTGAGTGCATTGGACCAGCAAAAGGTGGCAGTAAACTCTGATGTGCCTGTTTCACCTTTCTCTGCCCGAATCATTCTACTTCTGCACTGTAAAAACACCCTCACTCCAGTCCTCTGCTGTTGAATATGACTCTAGCAACTTCAGAGAGAAGAGACAGGTCCCCAGTGCAGCTTGCTAGCCAGCTAGGACTTGGAAGACTCAGGAACACCGGAGGACTTGGAACAGTGACAACCCAGGCATATCATGAGGTGAGCAGCACTGAGAGTGCCAGCAGGAAGGTAGGTTAACTGCTGATGCAGAAGCCTAGTCAGCATCTCATACTGCACAATCACAGTGCCCCATACCAGACATCAATAGGCTCCTAAAACAGATCTAAATATATAACAGAAGTGGAAAGACAAATACTTTAAAGCTCACAGTATTAAAAGAAAGCAATTCTAGAGTCCCAGGAGCCAGAATATTTTTCCTTTCCACTTTAGGCCTCATGCACATGGGCATATGAAAATATGCTGCATTTTTTTCAACCAAACTTGGTAGAATAGGGAAAGTGAAAACTGAGATTGAGCTCTGCAGTCAATTTTGCAGCAGTTTTTTTCTTAGTCCGGGTCACAATCCTGCCCAATGTCCTTTTTGTCTCTTTTTTGGTCAGTTGACCATGTCAACTGCGCTTATGCTTATCAGACGCTATTTTCCCAGAAACTTTATATGCCATCATAACCTTTGATATTGTACCTCATGACATGGCAAATAAATTGGCAACGTCAGTGACAGAGGCACCAGCTAAGCGGCACCAACAATTTGCCCTCTTTGAAGCTCAGTAAGCTCTGACATGACTCCTTATTACTAGCTGCACATGCAGTGAATGACAAAAGTGAGGCTTCCCACCTGTTAGCTATGTGTCTTATCATACAGCAGAAGCAAAAGAATGTTACATCTCTTTTGCTTTTAATACAAAAAAATCATCACTTTCTCACCTGCAAAGTGTGTGTGTTGTGTGTGTGTGTGTGTGTGTGTGTGTGTGTGTGTGTGTGTGTGTTGTGTGTCACACACCCCCTTCAATTTATGATGTAGCCTGATACTACAATTGTTTAAATTAATTTTTTTTCTCATGAATCTATATTCAGTACCCCATAATGAAAAAGTGAATACAGAATTTTGGAAATGTATGAAAAAGGTAAAACTGAAATATCACATGGACATAGGTATTCAGACCCGTTTGCAACAACACTTGAAATTTAGCTCAGGTGCCTCCCATTTCTCTTGATCGTTGCCGAGATGTTTCTACACCTTGATAGGCGTCCACCTGTTGTAAATTATA